GATTTGGGGGAGGACGTGCTCAGCTTGGGCTATTCTCCGGATGAGTTTCCTGATGATCCTCCTGGAGACCAACTTCAAGATGGGGGCGAAGGTGGAAGTGTGGATGCGGAACCTGCCCTACGCACAATGTGGGCAGGGGGGGAGTCCAACCCCACTTCAAAGGCTTCAAAGAAGGCTATGGGGGCCCCAAATTCGCCAGCTTCTTCCACAACAGCCTCAACTTCAAGGGCACTGAAAGAATGTGATGGTTGTGGACTTTTGCAGCCGGATACCGAAGACTGCAACCTTTGTGGTGAATCTGCGAGATGGAGTTCCCCTTCACAGTCGGGCTTAGCATCTCTGGCTTTGCAGGCGTCTTCAACAGCGGGCTTGCATGGTGCTGGAACTACATCAATGCAGGTGTCTTCACCATCGGGCTTGCATGGTGCTGGAACTACATCAATGCAGGTGTCTTCACCATCGGGCTTGCATGGAGCTGGATCTACATCATTGCGGGTGTCTTCACAGTCGGGCTTGGATGGGCGGCCGGACCTCGACGATATGGATGCTCAATTTGGGCATGGTCCTGCAGGCGAACGGGCTTGGGAGTCTGTGGAGATCCACAACCTTGAGGATTTGGTGGACAGTGCTCATCGTGAACATTGGGGATGGAAAAAACTTTGGGAACAGGAACTCTCTAGAGAAGCTGTGGGGGCCGAGATCGGTTTGATCCATGGCCAATGGCTGCAGTTTTTGGAGGGCCAGGTGAAGAGCCTGGAGGAGGAGTTGGCACTGGTTAGCACTTCGACCTTGAACCAGGAGACCGCGAATTGCAGGATTGCAGCACTCTCCCAGGGTATGGATGCTATGGTGGATGATCTGGAGCCTCTGGACAAACCTGAGCAGGCTCGAGCGGTGCTACAAACCTATGCAGTGTCGCTGGCCGAAGTCAAGAAGGACATCAACTTGTGGAAGGAGCCGCTGCAGGCCGAGATGGAGGCTTTGGTGAGCTCTGGAACGATTCGCCGGGTGAAGGTGGATCAGTTGGTGCATGAGCCTGGCTACGACCGGATGGAGGTGGCACCAGCGAAGATTGTCCCGACGATCAAATCACCCTCGGGAAAGCGGAAGGCGAGAATCGTCATCTGCGGCAACATGGTGCATCCTGCTGGGCATGTGAAACCTTCACAACTTCCTGATGGTGGAGTTCATGGTTGTCATCGACCTCATGGAGCAGCATCACCGGCAGTGCAGAACCTCGGGGATGGGAATGACCCGAATGGGGATGGATCCGAAAGGCCTGGAGGTGGTGGACCGGCCGCTGCCGCAGATCTTTATGCGGGTGGTGTTGACTCTACGGCTCTGAGGTGTGTCCTGAGGAAGGCAGCAGGGGCTTCTTGGTCCTTGGCATCAACGGACGTGAGAGGGGCATTTCTATTGGCTCCCAGATCACAGACCCGACGGCAGCTTTTGGTGGTGGAGCCTCCGCGACTTTTGACCTCAACTGGCTTGGTCTCTGCGGAGGAACGTTGGATCTGTGACGGTGCCATGTATGGTTTAGATAAGATTGGGCATCATTCAGGGACTGCCGCATGTCGTCCTTCCGATGGGAGACTCCAACTCACCGGTGCCACTTAGCGAGATCGCCAGAACCCAACATCTGGTCAATCATGGGGGTTTCCAAGACCAACTACCCGGAGGCAGTCATCAACGATGATGCTCATGCGGATCCTCTTGGCTTCCTCATTGTCTATGTGGATGACATCCTTTGTGCTGGACCTCGCCATGTGGTTGAAGCTTCTTTGGGCCGAATCCGGGATGAGTGGACGTGCTCGGAGGTGGAGTGGGTCAACGAGGTCAAATGGCTGAAGTTCTGTGGGATGCAGCTCAGATGGCAGGGAGACTCCTTGCTCTTGGGTCAGCCTGACTTTGCCCGCGAGCTTCTTGAACGACATGGTCCAGTTCCTGGTCGCCAAGTTCCACTTCCGAAGATTGACATGGCTCCGGATGTGGAGGATAACATTGACCCTGCGGATGTTCGCAGGTGCCAGCAGTTGCTGGGAGAACTCCTTTGGTTGAGTGGTCGAACCAGACCTGACCTTGCCTTCGCCGTATCGACCTTGAGCGGTTGGGTGACCAAGTGCCCCAAAAAGGTTCAGGAGCTGGGACGCTACTTGCTGGGCTACCTGCAGGAGACCTGGGAGTTTGTCCTGACTTACAAGAGCTGTTTGACAGATCAGGGGGAGCCAACAGATGAGCTGATGAAGCTCACCCTCCTGTCGGATGCTTCACATGCCCCACAGGGACTTCGTGGTTGCCAAGGCATATTGGCATTGTGGGGTGGCGCTCTGGTCCAATGGGAGAGCAAAAGGCAACCCTTTGCTGCTCTGAGCAGTACGGAGGCCGAGCTCATTGGATATGTGGATGCGCTGACGGTGGGCGAGTCGCTTCAGGTGATCCTGAACATCCTGGAGCACAACGCCATGATCGACGATGGCCAGTTTGAGATCCGAGGCGACAACCTGTCCGGGATCCAATTGTTGTTGGCGCCTGATGGTCCTTGGCGCACACGCCACCTGAGGCTTAGAAGCTTCGTCCTGCGAGAGCGATTGGCTTCTCGTGAGTGGCATGTGGAGCATGTTCCTGGAGCAGAGCATGGCGGCCGGCCTGTTGACGAAGCCTGAAGGTGCCTGTGGTGCTGAGCTGGAGAGTGGGTTAGTCGTTCCTAGGACCTTAGGTTTTTGACCAAGTTTTCCATGCCGGATGAAACATCACGGCTTTGTCGCCTGGCTGAGGCGGTAGTTGCTCTTGGAGGATTGGTGCTCCAAAACGGAGCTAACCAGTTGGTGAAAACTGCTGGAGCTGTTAGCCTGTCGGCTCTCACGGCGTGGATGTGTTGTCATGAAGGGCTGGCATCTATGGCTAAACCAGTTGAAGAAAAAACCAAATCAAGACCAGCACAAGAACATGAAAAGAGGCCTAGGGAAAATGAACCAGGCCCTGCTAACCCTACTGAACCTACTTCCGACTGTAGCCTCACAGGCTCCCCAATCGTGCCTCGCCTTTGTGCTGTGCGTGGGGCCATGGCTGCTGGATCGTGGAGCGGTCCATGGGATGACGCAGAGTTCCAGAGCTTGCCGACGGGAAGCAGTGACCGCTGGCGCAGCTTGCCTGGTGGGTGGTGGGTCAGGGTCCACGGTGGACTCCGATCCAGGCTGTACCACCCGGTGCACACAAGCACCCCTGTGAGGTGCGAGGACTTGGAGCCGGAAAGGACGACTGTGACCCTGGACCCGGCAGGTGCACTGCGACCACTGGGGTTTTGGAAGCCAGCCTGTGCCAGGGGTTGGACAGTGGAAGGGCTTCACCTTCTTCAGGATCAAGGAGGGCGACCAGAGTGGGGCCAACAGCTCAGGGTTGCCCAGGATCCGACCTGATGTGGTGACCTGGAGCTATGAGGACCTACCACCGATATGAAGCAGGGTGGCATGTCAAGTGCTTACCCACCACCTGGGGCCAGAGAAAGCACCGAAGAAGAGGAGGCTGACCCAGGGGTTCCGTTTGAGCACGGGATGGTCCAACCTGGAAGAAAACCACCACCTCAGGCTTGGTTCCAGCGACAGAATATGCAGGGTTGGATGAACCGTATGGCCAAACCACCAGCAGTTCCAGTACACCATGCAATGCCAGGACCACCGGCAGCGGCTCCACCACCTCATGGGATGGCGGGATGGCTTCCAACTGGTCCGCCTCCTAGCAGTGCAGGGCAGGGTGGCCTGTCGAGTGCCGATCCACCGCCCGGGGCTGGAGCTGCACCGAAGCCGATGGCTGAGGGGTACTGCAGGCCAACTCATAAGTATGGCCGGTATCAGGCGCCTGCAGAAGCTGAAGGAGACCGTCCTCGTGGCCGACCTGGACCTGGACCTCGTGGAAGAGCTGCTATGGGCATTGGTGGGCCGATCGATGCTCGAGAGGAAGGCCGGATGACTTCGGCCGGATCTATGTCGATGGGAGCAGGACCTATGGGGGTCATCCCAACTGGAGCTGGAGATCGACCTGGTGAAAACCCGCTGCTGGCTTCTTTGAGGGTGGCAATGCGACCTCCAGAGCAGAACCCAGGTGGCTTGGCATCGTCGAGCTCTACGGTGATCCCGGGGGAGTGGGCCACACGAGGGGACCCGGGGCTGATTACCCCGCGGGGGTCCGTGGCTGGAGCATGGGCTAACCGGCCTACCTTGGTCGCCAAGGCCCTGGGCACTCCATACCAGGCCGAACGGCGATTGAATCCTCCCCCGGAGGGCTTGGAAGAGGCTGAAAGCTCCCTGGTGTCTGAGGAGGAGAACGTGGGCGCTGCTGAGACTCCCGAGAACGAGGAGGAGGACATGTAGCAGAGCTCCCCTTTTTTCTTTCTAAGACCAGCCAACGAAGCTTTGGTCTGGCATTTTGCTACGGCCACCGAAAAATGTTGCACCTGGCAACATTGGGGGAGTGTGGTGCCGTTTTCAAAGAATGACACGCACAAATCAAGAAGTGCTGTCTACTGTAGGACATGGGATGCAGTTTGGACGACCGTTCATAGCATGGCCCCTGCACAAGGATCTTACTGATTGCACATGGCTCAAGAAAAGGGCAGACTTTTGCACCTGCCTTTCGCAATGACAATTTGGGGATTAGGATAATAACTTGCCATAACTTGCCATTTACCACGAAATTACCCCCAAAGACCCCCCCAGATCTCTCTAAAGATCTCAGGCATCGCAGAGGTCAGTTGGTCCCCAGACATGTTTCATGGTGAGATCCCATCTGCAAATCTCAGGCCAATTCAAACCACATGTTTGTAAGGTAAAAACTCAGATTTTGTCTTTAAACCTCATTGAATCTTGTAAACATGTACCATGATTTATGATCTTCATCATTCATTTTCCCGGATTTCCCCCAAAAAATCATGAAGTATCAACAAGTTATAAAAGGTTATAAACACCATTGAGAAAACAGATGATCCCCCGACATTTCCGCCCCAGGCATCGTCGACCCCAACATGGGCGTCTCCACGGGCGCCTCACTGGTCCTGAGCGCCGCGCTGGGCTCGGGGGAAGCGCTGCCGGCCTGGCTGCACTTCGATCCCTCCAAGGGCGCCTTTTCGGGAACGCCACCGGTGCTGGAGGATGCCGGAGTCCGGGGGTGGAACATGTGGAAAACATGGGGATTTTTTGGGATTCTGTTGAGACTCAACAAATGGCATCCCTGAAGAAATGGCTGTTTTTTTTCTGACTTTCATGTTTTTTTTTTGAATGTTTTGATGATTTTTGGGACATTTGATCCCATAGCCCTATGAAACACCTCCCGGTGTTCCAGTACTCTTCTCCAACCTTTTCTGCATTGGCTGTTGTGTTCGAAGGCTCAGTGAATCTATTTGGCGGATATGGCAACCCTCTGCGGCCTTGGGTCTTGTGGTGTATGAGCATGGTGTGCAAGACTGGATACGCAGACATTGAGGCAGGAGATCCGTCGGCCGCCGGCACCTCCTCCGTGCCCAGGGTTCATTGACACGAACCAGGAACCTGAGGAGTTCCACATCACCGCAATGAGTGGCGCAAAGAATTCAGATGGTTTTCAACAAGATCACGCTGTTTTCGCGCGGAAAGAAGCCTCCTAAATTTGATCCCAAATGTGTAAATCTAAAGCATGGAATTTCTGGGAGGTGTTTAATAATAATATGAACGAACATGGGATAACAATGTGAACAGGTAGATATATGTATAGATATGTTAATAATGATTAATTTAATAATCTATATATTTTTTCATGATGTTTCTATGCTTATAATCCCATCCCCCTTATGAAACACACCCTATATAAATTTTCACAGAAATGGTCCCAAATATGTGCATATCACTGAAGTGGGAGGTGTTGAACATGTACGGGGGAAGGGATTACCTTTAAAAAACTAGTTTGAATGGGAGATGAACGGGAGATTCATGGGGATTTTGATGGATTTTGTGAATGTTTTGATGAGAATTCACCAATGAAATTGATGTTTTTGCGCAACACGAATAGAGCTTTTAATTTTTATTGGGAGTGCTTTGATGATTTTATCATGAGCAAGTGGTAGTTTCACCAATTGTTGCATTTTTCAAACACACCAATTTCCACACTTGGGGTATCATTGCCAGCACTGCAGGCTAACGTGGGACATTCCATCATGGTTTGGCTGAATTCTAAGGAAGTCACCATACATGCTACTCCCCAAATGAGGTTAATTCAGGTGGTTAGTTGTTGTAATTCACCCAGATATATTACATGGTTTATCAAACAAAACCACCCTGGCAAACATTGGCCAGCTGTGGTTTATCCCTGGAATTTACATGTTTTTCAGGCGTGCATGAAATCTGTATAGAGGGTTTTGGAACGTACTGTAGAATCGGAGAACTAACTGGAAGCCATGTGTCCCGCTGGTAGGACTTGCAATTAACTCTGCACGCGAGTGCCTTGGCTTTTGGTGAAGGACATGGAGTTTTCTATGGGACATCCCCAGGTGCATGTGGGAAGGTGCTGCTTTGATAGATGTTGATACACTGACAGTCATCATCATGTGGAAAGAAATTTGTGTACCTTCATAAACGGGGTTTGCGCAAAAAGAAGCTCCAATCCAATGGTTCTAGAAATGATGTCCCCCATTGATATTGCCACAGTAATGTGTCTGATTGGTGGTTTGGAACATGTTTTTTTTTATGATTTTCCATGATATATGGGAATAATAATGCCAACTGACGAACTCATATTTTTCAGAGGGTAGGCTCAACCACCAACCAGATGTGTAAAGATCCCATTTCTGGATAAACCCGAAATCGCTTTGATTTTTAATGGTTCCATGCGCTCCATGGTATAAAATCTTTAAGCCCTAAGAACGAGGCCATTGTCAATGTAGCTAAATCAATGGAACCTGTGGCTCGTCATGTGGTTGCTCTTCCTGCCCGGGGACTCAACGGTTCTCGAGATGGCTGGCCGCAGAGAAATCACTAAACCTTCCTAAAACCATAAACCATCATAAAACCCGAGAATCTTAAACCTCAAGCCCTGAATCACTGCATATAGCCACAGTATTAGCCACGGTGTTTTTTGCGCGAAATTTCTCCGAACCATGTTGACCCTGCGCAAAATCCTCCATGCATGTATATGTATTATACAATATTACATACTGTATATATTTGTATATTATATATACATTAAGTATACATGATCTATTATATAGTATAGTTATAGTGTAATATATATATATATTGTATCTTATAGTCTTTTTTTAAGACTATACATGTTGTTGTGTCAATACTTTCGAAACCAGATGTCATCGCCTCTCCGAGATCATCGGTGGGTGTTTTGAAAAATGGTCAGACGCAATGGTAAAATCGCCTCCGGTGTAAACGTTTACGTTTTACGAAGTGGAAAGAAAATCACCATGTCACCATGTTGAATGGGTGTTTGGTATATGATTATACCAATCAACCAGATATATATATATATATACACCCTTTGGTAAACGTTTAGTTTTTGACTTTGTCACTTTGTCAAACAAAGCTCAAGCCTACATATTATGGCGCTTTTTTCGACATTGACATCTCATATGAAGATGAATATTTTTTTCGGACGTGTCATTCATGCTATCCTCTGATAAACGTTTACATAACGAACTGGAAAGATCCACCATTTTTAATGGGCAAAACTCACTATTTCAATGGCCATTTTCAATAGCAAACTGTTAAAAAACTAACATAGCTATTGAAAATGGCCCATTGAAATAGTGGATTTACCTTTTAAAAATGGTGGATCTTTCCAGTTCGTTAGCGCCAGAATTTGAGCATTGGGAAACAAAAATAGCAATTCCATACAATTCTTTGGCTATCGCGTGGGTGGGAAAATCCCATTAAATCCAAATTTTGCATGGTAAAATTCCCTGAAAATTCGCAGATTTGCTAGGTCAATCCTACATGGATACTTTACTATAATCCTTTAGTCTTGCTAGGTATTAATGGGAATATCTACTAACCAGCAAAGAATTTATTTTTTTGCAGGGTATCTAAGATTGGCAATGTTTGTTCTAATGAATTCCACTGTTCCACGTCACTTCTCCCTCGTCTCAGGCGTAGGCATTTG